CAGCTCTTTAAATATTAATTTTGTTCATAGTTTAGAATTGAATAATATTTTTCTTCTTATCAATTTTGAGGACACAGGCGTGGCGATTGTTGTGTTTGATATATAATGTAATAGATACTTAGCACAAGTAATACATAGTTCATTAGTAAACCGCTAATCTCAATACTTATAAACATAATCAGAATGCAGTCGTGTTGAGCGTACGCTCGGTAAACGAAAGTAAAAATCTGGTTTCCGTTCGAATGTAACACCGATGTCTTTTAGATATTTAAGTTTATGTATTTACCATCTTTGAATACTTTACTTTTACTCCACCTGATTTTGCCTTCAGTCCGTAGACTTAAAGCTTCATCGAACGCAGAACTCGAGGGCTAGCCGGAACTCCGAGCTTGCTCAGCTCTTCACGCTGTGTAGCGTGATTCACGCGTCACCTTAAACGGGAGCGAATAAAAACCCTGAATACAAAAGACAGTGCAGCATATTATTCTCGTGTCATCGGTTCTTCATCATCATCATCATTATTTCAGCCTGTTTGAGTCCACTATAGAACATAGGCCTCCCCGCAGACTGCACATTTGTACAGTTCATCACTACATCTAGTGGGGGTCGTCCTATATTGTGATGGCCAGTACGAGGCTGCCACTCGAGAACCTTTCTTCCCCAAGGGTCATCGGTTCTTACGTCGACTTAGTTATACCTGCAAAGCGACGTTTAATGACGAAGCGGAAGCGATTTGCATTCACTTTGTGACGTTCATGCAGCGCCCACTTTCACTACGGCCCGCGGCCGCTCGTCCCGCGCGCCACACCCCGCCTCCGCCGTGTCCATCTTGTTTTTATTGCACCGCTGCGGCCTCGTGGTTGCGTATTGCAGGGCAACGGGTTCGACGCTCAAAATATTAAAATGTCATTTAATATAAATATACCATCACTACAAATGGCCGTTACATGTAACGACCAATTTCATCTTTAGGTTTTTGTTCATTTTGCGTTTTGATTATTCTGAGACAAGGTTAAAGAATAATGCTTGGGAATTTTTTTTTATTCATTCTTAGAAATGAGATAAAAATATTTCGAAGATATATGAAGTCTACCATTTCGCGGAGGCTCAGCAGTGGGACACATGCTTTACTAGAGAAGCATATGAACAAAATAATGACATTAATTTTATTTCTTCGTGAATTTATTTTAATGTTTATATTACCACTGCTTCTATTTGTACTTAGGAAGGTATTTTTATTACACATGAAATGGTCTGCAGTAGCAGCTCATATACGTTTTGCTGACGCCTACTAACATAAGCTTTACAGCCCGAGATAAATTTCTGATGTCGGAATCGTTGCAAATGATTTCAATTGCGTTTTTAAACGCTGATTCATCACGTACTCTGCAACGAAGAACTTTCACGCGAGAGCCGCATGTCTCAAGGCTTAAAATAAAGTTATACTGAAGTGTTTTGTTTTATTTTAATTCGTCAATTCACCAATACCCGTTCTTTTTGTACATAACCTCTACATTTGCCTAAATAAATAAAAATAAAAATGTTTTATTGCTAAATTCTGCAATTAAGATGAAAATGGAATGGAAGAAAAATGGACGAAATGTTTTTCACCGCTGTGGGAATCGAACCCACTGCTAAGTTAAGCGGCTGATTGTCCCACTGACGAAACTGAACTTCTCACAGACCACAGCGCGGCCTCTCCGAGGTTCAGGCTAGGAGCCCCGAGCACCCTGCCACCTCAAGTCCAGCGGATCTGTAAAGTCCCTAAGCTCAACAGTTATATATCAAGCCAAAAAAAAAGCACGGCCACACAAGAGATCGGCGTGAGTGAAAGAGGAATGGGAAGAGTGAAAGTGTCATACTTCTGTGTTTCGTCTGGTAACCGGAGTCCACTTCCCATCGGTCTGGCCAGGCAGTCACGGGTGACAAGGTGAGGGCTCATGACCCGGGCATCGTTGCAAGAGGTATATACAAGGACCTCCCGGTAACTGAGGCCTTACGCGTGACGGCGTGGCGTGGTGTGACGTCATGAAAATGACGTTGCTCTGTTTTGTTGAGGCGTCGTAAAAACGACGTTACGCTGTTGAGTTTAATCACCAGTACCTGGAGGACCGAGCTTTGCTCGGTTTGTTGTTTTTTTTTTTGGTAATTCATGTATTTTGGAAATTACATTTAGATACAAATTACTGAGTAATGAAATATGCATAATATTTTTCGACCTTACCGACGTAATAATAAGAAAATATGAAGTGGTGTTTTTCACAAAAGAAAGAACTTTAAAAAATAGGGAAAAAAAAGAATAAAAAATCGACAAAAAATTAAAAAAAAGAAAGCAATTATCTGGAATCGAAAAAAAAGTAAGAAAATAAGTGTGTAAATGATCGTGATACGAACCACGGCCGTCTGTTTTGGGGCCGCCCGATTACCGCCCTATTAAAACTTTTTTTTTGCGGCGAAATTTACCGTCATATTCGAATGATATTTTTCATTCGCTGAAAACAGGGATAAAAGGACATTTTCTAAAAATGAAACCTAGCTAGATTGATTTTTCACCCCCGAATCCGGGTAAGTACCACGGCCTCACAGAATACCGGCGTGAAGTCAGCGAATTTTCAGTCTTCGCCGCTCTAAGCCCCAGGCCATGTAGTACGTACTTTTAATATATTATGTTAAGTGCAGATATTAGCACGATAAAATTTAATTTTACAATGTTCTACAAAAGCCGCCCATTTCTCAGCACCCACAAAATATAGGCTACATAAGGAATTTACTTTATTGCCAACTTTTATCAAAATCGATTCAGGAAGCTAACTATCAAAGCTGCTAGCTAGTAATATTTTCCGATGTTTCAGAGATATTTGCTTGTGAAGTTTTTCAAGGGTTCGATTCCCGCAAAGGCGCAAAACTTTTCGTCCTTTTATCCACTTTTAATATATTATGTTAACCGCTTGCTCGTTTGCTAACTTTTCATTTAAAAAAAGGTAGTCAGCGCGCGTACAGTTTACACAGCTTATTTGTCTCTCGAAGACCACACTAACAAGTTGCTGCACTTAAAAGCTACATTTAATGAACAAATATGTCTTGTTCGTTTCACTTGCTTCCTTGATGCTAACACATAATCACGATTCAGAATGGAACACCGATTCTGTGGCGGTTGTTTAATGTTCAGAACGTATGCAGTCGAAGGAGACGCACGAGGTCGTACCGTTGTTTATCAAGCGGGTCTTCCGACTATGTTTACGTTTCCAACATATCGGTTGGTGCGAGCGTTTGGTTGGTGCGGAGTTAACGGCCCTCGATGCCTGTTGTTTACGCGCCTCGCACGCGGCGTTGAGGGCGCGCTGTTTATTCAAAATTATTCATTAATTCGGCCGAGGTGTCGCGACACGACGGGCCGTGTTGTCCAGCGTGACGCGACCCGTTATTTATGCTAATTGACACTGGACGAGCGTCAGGATGCAATTTGTTAGGGCGTCCCGTTTGGGGAAGTCGCGTCACCCTAAAAATGTTGCTTATTACCCGCCGGCTAATCAGCGGCTCCGACACGATCTATCTGTTTGATAGGTAGGATTTAATGTCAACAGCGGTAGTCGTAATCAACATATCCGAGTGATACAGTCGATGTAAATGTAAAGTAACAAACAGCCTATACAAGACCCACTGTAGGGCAAAGGCCTATACTGTTCAGAGTTTAGGAAAAAGCCCACTGCGTATTGGCGGACTTCACATCATCATATTCTTCTTGCTTTATCCCACCTAAGATATTTACAAGATTTAATCTATCTAAAATTACATATTATCTAATCCACGCGGCATGGTGCCAAGAACGCAAGCTGCATTTCCTCGCTGAGTAGTTATGCTTAATATTTGAGCGAGAAAAGAACTAGCTCTCCCACCTAAGTGGTGTCGACACAACACGTGAATCGTGTTGTGAGCAGTTTTGGCTACGTTTTTTACTACTGGCTCATGCCTACGTCACCCCTCCTTGGGAAACAAACACCCAGATCCGGAAAAATTATCTATGGGTCACACAAATACTTGTTCCGTATGCGAATCGAACCCACGACCCCCAACACCAATAGCTTAGCAACGGCGCCACCGAGTCAACACGGAATAGCGGACTGCACATATTTTCGAAATATTTATTTTATAATTCCAAAATTTTATAAAGAAAACAATATTTATGTTTCCTCACGATGATTTCCTTCACCGCTGAGCACGTGATGATTGAGCACTTCAAATTAACAATAACATAATTTTTAAGTTTGCTAAGTCCAAATCTCGATTCGAACTTAGGTTGCATTGAAATCGAGCTTCCGGACACTGAGCTATCACAGCTCTGTGGAGAAGATGTACTGTATAAGTTTACTTTTGAATGTGCTTAGACGAGGTATACTATAATAATTATGGAGTGGGGAAGGGAGCATGTGGCACACATGATGGTAAGTGATCACCGCCGCCCATGAACGCTCACTCTCAGAGTGAAGATATGAATAGGCGATGTTTTAACCTACAGCAGAATTTTGTGGATGCGGTCAACATAGCTAAGTATTGTTGGACACAGAAACGCGGCAAATAACTATTCACGCCTCCACTGTATACAATCGAAAATATCGGTTTCTTGTTATGGAAAATGAAAGTACTTACTAACTATAGAATAGCAACCATTAAATTTCGTTTTAATATATTTAGACACGTGTTGTAATAATTCACAATTTTTACAATTACCTTAAATCGATGACAGTCATAGCAGGTGGGAAATAATTTGCTTTTTTACATAATCCCATTAATATGAAATAACCTATAAAAGTTTTGTATTATTTGAAGTTATGTAATACTTTAAGTCAATATAAAATGTGACATTAAGCCAAGTGAACCGTACAATAGAAAACTATATTTGCCTGCTGACTTTAGGCCCTTGAACCTTTCTCGAGTATATCTGATTTAGCATTTGATTTGATTTTCTATTATAACATCACTAGAGTACCAGGTTATGTAACATGTACCGCTGTATAGTTATCACGGCGATACAGAAGACCAGCAGGATACTGAAAAGCGGCTGGAAATTGAATAGTTTGACGTTTGGCCCTGTGAGTGAGGTAGCTGAAAGCCGATACTCTCAGTGCCTGGCTACATGGCTGCAACGTCCTTCATATCTCGAGTGTACGTTCGGCGGCGGCGGCGGCGGCGGCGGTCTTCATCTAGCATAATTTGCTTGGCCCCAACATTTCTGAATTGAAGGAAAATCTCTGTAATAATATATTACTGTTTAAATGTCAGATTTCGGAGCAATGTCTATCAAATCCAAACAACTATACTTAAAATTTTGATAAAGTTACAGATACTTGGGTTTTTGGACAAATAAATGCGTGACTCACAGACAATTGATCCGGATCTGGTTCTGTTTGTGGTTGAAAAAAAATTGCGAAAACTTTGTGTTTGTGTAACTAAATGTTTTCAACATGATCAACATGTTGTGTCGACCACAACGCTGGACAAGAGAACGATGGACCTAGTAAAATAAACAGATATCTTCAAATTTCAAAATTTAAAAAAGTTTTACTACTTTTACTTTAAATTATTTATCCTTTAGACTATATTATATCGCAGAATGCTGCAAAGTATACGGAACATTGGGAGCTAAACTTAAATATAAACGCAATATGTAATAAATAAGTAAAAACAGACGGCACCCCCTCCCAGCCTATCGTAGTTATGTAAGTATATAAGTATTTCCATTTCTGTAAGAATTTTCCAATTGGTATAGTGAACACGATATAAGGAATTTTAATATCGACGTTTCCCTGTCTTTGCTATCAAAATGGAGCAACGAGGTTCCAAGGTGATGAAAATAAAACATCCTAATGAAGCTGACATAATTAATACTAAACAGATTCCCTCAGGAAATAGTGGAAACAAGAATAAAACATCTTTAATTACAGAAGTTTACCTTCTGTACAGAGGAGACATTTTCCCAGCAGTGGAACATGTATCACTTCAATTTTATTTTATTGTTAACATGCCTGAGAAGGCATTTAAGAACACAAGGTCGTGTAGCATTAATTATAATTATAAATTATAATTGTTGTTACACGCTTATATTATATGTTGAAGTGTTTTGTTGTGTGGAAGTGAATGTAGAAGTGTTTTGTTAAACTTCCATCTATAATCTAAGCAGGGCTTTGCCACAGGCATTTATATACATGTGCGATTCTAATTTCATAGTTTTTATGTCTTTGCAGTGTTCTTTGATTGTATTTTATTTATTTTATATTTAATTTTTTGGTTTTATGTTATTAAGACGTGTTTCCAATCAAGGAATAAGTATTTTTTATCTGAAACTTTCATATGAGTATGAACATGAACGGGATAATAACCTTATATATAATATTACTTGTTATTTACTAATCATTCCCACACACGGGATGACTGTGACTTGCCAAGGCATTCAACATTCCAAAGCTAATAATAAAGCTATGTTTAAAAAGAATACTATTTCCCCGTATTTTTTTATTTACTTTGATAGTACAAGAATAAAATGATGATATAATGTGGAACTCAACTATATATCCTTGAACAGATAACTAATAACAATTAGACGCTACTACATTTGTGTTCTGGCAATAATTGCTCTATTTTCAACCGACAACAAAAGAGGAGGAGGTTCTCAAATCGGTTGTATGTTTTCTTGTATTTGTTACCTCCATCATTTATGAATCGATTTTAAAACGTCTTTTGCATTGGGCTCGATTTAGCGGGAAAGGGTATTAGCGGTTTCGTTTTTAAATGGGAATTTAGGCCCATACTAATTTCATTGGTAATTAAAATTTAAAATAATAATTAAAAACGGTAATTCCCTTGAACCCCGGAGATGCATCAGGAAATTCCACAAAATCAAACAGATAATGTACAGTGAGCGTGTATTTGAAATAGGTTTTGTTATTTTATTAATTGTACTTGTCATCTTTTAGCAAACAGTTCGAGTGTTTTCAAAAGCCGAATCCCTGGCAGTGTCAATGGCCGTGTTAATTATTGGCCCGACAGTTTAAAAAAAAAGCAACGCCACCGTATCTTTTTCCCCAAAATTGCGGACCACACAGGCTCGCGGCGCGCACTTCAAGATGGCGCGACCTGTCAAAACAGGAGCACTCGTTTTGATTTATTACTGACCCCTCGTATGAGGTCGCCGGTGGTTGCAGAATGCAGCATCTTATGGCCCCCCAGTCCACCGGGGGCCTTTATTGAGCCTCCATCGTACGCCTTTCTTTGCCCGTGTGACGTCTTTGTCAGTGTTTCTATGAGCAGTTGTTTTGGCGGGAATTGTTCCAATGTGTGATTTAGGTTATCTGTGAAGTGACAGTTTACTTTGTTCTGTTTAACGCGTCCGCGGTGTTTGGACAACGGGCTTGCGATTCCATTGTCTTGAATGGAAATATTTGAAAACGGACGAAGTGCTAACAAACCTTGCGTCGTGCGTGTGTTTGCAACGCGAATTGATGTAAATATCACAGAGCATATTTCAGCGTTTTAGTGGGAACAGTAAGTTTTTAGCTTTTCAAATCTTGGCACCCATTAGAGAATACTGTCAAAGTATAGCTATGAGCCCTATGGTCAAGCCGTAGCTTCTGCTGTTGCAAAATGAGCAGGCTAGTCCGGGGAAGAATCACGGCCTCACAGAAGACCAGCATAAAGTATTATTCTCTCGCATTTTCAATGGTTAGCAAAGCTTCTGCAACTGGCCAAGTGAAATAGATATCCATGGGCGGCTGTAATCATAGCATTAAACAGCAATTAATATTGCATACATTGCATTAGTATTAGTTGTGATGGCATTTAGCTTTTCTGCTCGATTATTAATAAGAAAGTAAAATCCTTTAAAATTGAGTAAGATAGTTGTTATATCAGAAATTTTTAAACTGAAATATTGTTCCTGCTCAGAGTTTATTTTCATGGACGATCGTAACTAAACAATTCATTATTCAATTTTTTTTCACATTCATCGAGACAATAGTGCCACCATTTGTTCAAAGTTGCTATTAAATTCCAACAGGCACTTCTCATGATATTCACATTATGAAAATTTTATAAATTTTCCATTTTTAAGTTATATTGTGTTTTGCTATGAGGTGTATATTTTTTTACTTAATTTTATTACGTGAAAAACGATCGTAATCTTAAAACTAAAGCCAACGTTAAACTTATATATTCTAATTATTCCAAAATAGATTGAGGTGACAATTTAAAAATACTTCATTTTGCTCAGCTAATTTCCCTGCTCTGATTTTCAATATTTTCGTTTCTTGTGTACAATAAAGACATGGATTGTTAACTTTATAACTGTCTAACCATGGACAACCTTTTGAAAGAAGTGAGTTAGTTATTTAGACAGTTAGTTGTTTATCCTATTACCTATATGAATATATGAAATCAAAATAAGTTATAACTACATTATTTTATTTATAAAGTAACAGCCTATACATGTCCCACTGCTGGGCAAAGACCTCCTCGGTACAGAGGGTATCATGTCATAGTCTACCACGTGGCCCCACTGCGGAATCGAACTCAGGTTGCTCGAGCATATTGAATTAAAGGCGAGCGCCCGGACACGCTAGCTATCACGGCTATTTTACGTATGACTAGTACCAAACCTATTCTACTTGATGGATAGACGATATTTACTCTATACCTTATCACTCTTGCCTTTAACACGAACGTGATCGAAGAGACAGGATGATGCTGTCTTGTACCACTTGTTTGTGCTGTAAACGTTTATATGTCAATCATTTAACGCATCGGGACCGTGTTGACACTCCGGAAGTACCCTGGTTTGGACTTGCTACAACCGGAAAATCTTTTCTTTACGTGTACGTGTATTATCTTAAACTAGTGGATGCCGTGTAGTCGATATTCGACCAAATTTGAACAATATTAATCTATTTTCAAATATAATATGCAATAAACAAAAGACTATATAAGCATGCGTGTGATAAATACTTGTGTACTATCTGTGTGTAATAATTGTGTACAATAAAGTTAAAAAAAAATTAGAAAACAAACTAAAAAAACAAAAAAAAAATTACAAATAAATTAGAAAAAAATATTAGCATTCTGCACTCCATCGTACTCCTCCGTACGCGCAATTTTGTAAAAAGGTTTTTGCTTCACGTATTTATCACTACATAGTATAAAACAAAGTCATCCCGCTGTCTGTCTGTCCCTATGTATGCTTAGATCTTTAAACTACGCAACACATCTTGATGCGGTTAATTTTACTAGATAGAGTGATTCAAGAGGAAGGGTTATATGTATAATACATTGCACCCGTGCGAAGCCGGGGCTGGTCGTTAGCTAATATATAGATAATAAAATAGGTGACATCCAGAAACATCGATTTATTGTGGTAGAGCCGGCAGGTCCATCCGGCGAAGTACAACGACCTAACAGAAGGCCGGTGTTATACTCTTGTGTCTTGTCTGGTAAGTGAGGTTACCGTAGTCAATTTTATTGAAGGGTTGCAACGCATTTGTAGCCCTACATTGGGTGTTGCAAATGTCTATGGCCTGTGGTTATGATTTAACATCAGGTGTGCCGACAGCTCGCTTGACAATTTTTCACATATAACAAAACAACTAAGTGTTAACAATTTCAAACATTTTGTAAAAGCTACCCGAATGGAATTTTTTTATAACGTCGAATAATACATTGAGGACAAGGATGTGTGGAAATTACTCTCGCTCTGCACTTGCAAGACCCCTGGCTGCTGCTAATTTTATACTTAAATATTTTTGTGTACTTACATAATTAAAAAAAAAAAGAAAAAAGATAAGATCGCAGTTTCTTCTTGCAGGTTCTTCTCTGGACAGGACTTGTTTAGTGAACCGGTGGTAGTTTTGCACAGACCCTTGTAAATGTATAATTTTTTGTCTCTGTTAAATGATACATTGCTTCTTCTGTGTCGTGTGTGATTATCTAAAGCTTTAATGCTACAGGTACGTCGGGCCACAAAAATAATTAAGTTGCCACATTTAATTCTTTTATTTAAAAGTAGATTTTAATTCAAATACATTGTTTATGGAATCCTGGGATGACCCCACGTATTTAAGGTCAGCGTAGCGTCAGATTCAGATGTCTCTAACCTTTTTATATTTATCACAGTTTTATTCATTTTTCTATCGTTTTTTTTTTTTCAAGTTATATTTATATTTCTACTAGCTGCTACCCGCGACTACGTCTGCGTAGAATAGCCTGAAGGCGTAACATTCAGACAGAAGGACAGATATACATAAAATATGTATATAAATTATAGCCTATGTCTTATTCTTATGTTAGCTATATGAGCTATATTACTGTAAAGTTTCATTAAAATCCATTCAGTAGTATTTGAAAGAGTAACAAACATCCATCCGTCCATACAAACTTTCGCCTTTATAATATTAGTAAGCATGTTGAAACCAAACATAAAAAAAACTATTTTTATCAGTTCAACACGGACTTCTAAAACTATGCTGTTATACACATCGTAAAATACGCATAAAACAGTTTTCAACATATCACTTTGTTATCATTAAAATTTTTGTATAATGAATAGGTTAGTCATTACAATAGGTACATACACTTTGAGTTTTAATGATACTAACGTAAATTTTACGGCTTTTATAATTGCTTCGTTTAGAGTTCATTACGTTTTAAATTAAACTAAATAACGATATTCACTATAAATTGTGCACACGACAGTGATTGGTGTGTTTTTGTATCTTTATAAATACCAAGTATCGCCCGGTGGTCGTTAATCGTTCTTTATCCTGCAATTTTTTATTTGCGAGTATTCTAGAAATTCCTTCAGCCTATCTTACATAGGTACTTGTTTGTATACATGCAGTTTGAAATTGTATTAAATTATGATATATATATTTTATAATTCACATATATATGTCATTTATAATAAATGGATTATCATTTATAATGACATATATATGTCATTTATTATAAAATGGTACTTAACAATTTCCGAAAGCATTAATGAATTTGAAACGTCTCTGTATATTATTTTCAAGCAAATTTAAACTACTTATAGCGAAACTAAAACTCAGTGTGCTTAATGTGCATTAAGAGGCCTACTTATGATTTTCTTTTACTTCTACTTAATATTATGAACCTATAGATATTATACATTTAAAAAAAAACCGAGGATGTAAATTTTAAAAAGGTTTGTGAACAGAGTTATTAAACTTGAGGGCTATAACAATAGATGATATCTATACCTCATGTTAAAGTGTGTTGCCGTTGCTTAATACCAATTAACTTTGTTTAGGAGAGCGTTTAATTAACAGCCGCGAGCGGCTATTCGAAGTTAATTGAGCGACTCGTTAGAGGAAGCCTTCGCGGGGCTTGCATTGCGGTTTTTAATGGAGCGCGGCCTCGCGACGGCGATTTCCCCGCCCGCCGGCGCTCGTCATCCGGCGACATTTCCCGCCGGCCTCTATTTTCCCGCGCCCAGCTACACCCCGGTGCCGGGAGGCGGCCGAGAGCCCGCCAATCAACGGAAACGCCATGTTGTCAACGGGGCGGGGTTCCGTCGTGCCTCTCGCTCGCCCGCGCGCGAAAATCAAGTTTTCCCGCTCGCACCCGCCGCGCGCCCATTGGCGGGCGCGCAATTAAGCGCGGGAATTCGAATTCTATTTTCGAGGTAAATGTTTTTTCAGCGTCCCGCTTACGGCCGGCCGGCTGTACTATGACGCGAGTTGAAGCGTCACCTGTCGCCGGGCCGATGGCTTTTTGCGGCGCGCCTCCTCCATTCGGCGGGCTAATAAGATGGCGTTCCGTGCGCGGCACATAACGTAAATCTGCCGGAGATATATGGCGGTGGATTAACACGTTCCGTGATCCGTTTGATCGATTTATTGGCCGCGCTGAGATTTATGGAGACGGACTAGGATTTTTGTTTGCGGGTGGGCGGACATATGTAATGGTACACGCCCGTATAGCTTTCACGTGAGATTTTTATTATGTCGAAAACAAAGTGTTGTTAACATTAAAGTCGAAACGCAGATCGATTATATTCTATTTGTGTGGATATAATGAAATACACATTGCATACGATCACTTGTTTCGCGCCGAAATAAATAAAACTTCACTTTATCAGAGAAATAGTAAGACACGCTTTAGTGGAACTACTAATAACGGCATTATAAAACAGATCTGACATGAAACAATACTAGCCCCTTTTCGGCCGGATTTTTACTACGACATATTTGTCATCTATCTGTAATTTTTATATAAGTAAATAATATTGAATAGTATAATTGTGAAAATCCATTGTACCTGTATAACACAGCCTTCTTTAGTTATCTCATGCTTACATATATGGGGTGAATCTCTCATCATAAGCCCGACATAGATTCGCATGTTTTTGTACGTTAAATGCATTTGAAGTGTACATTAACTTGCCGTGCAAGTTGTCATTGTTTGTGCCCAAAGTAAATCAGCAACAGGTACAGTAGATAAAGCAAACGCTCTGTAATTAGAGAAATTTCAGAGCCACAAATATTGAAAGCTTGGGTCACACTGTTAGGAGTACTTATATCTTTCGTCTGTTAAGTTCCTGCTTTTGTTACTAAAGCCGTTTTAAAAGGTTCGATACCTACTCGATACCTCACATGGAGGTGAGCACACTGACCCATGGTTGTATCGAGAGAACATTTAGTGCGCTCTGCACGCGTGCCAGGAATGGAATGGAAATTCAAAAACATAGTAGACAGGCAGGTTACATCAGGCCAGGTTTTTTACTGTGGAACACGCAACACAACAGTTTTCGCCGTTGCACGAATGGGCAGGTCCGTCCGGCAGGAAAGTACCACGGAATCACAGAGAACGGGCGTTAATTGAAAGTGTTATGTTCCTGCGTATCGCCTGGTGAGTGGTATCGAGTGGTAAATCAAGGCCCACTTCACTGAAAAGTGGCAACGTATCTGCAACCCCACGGGTGCAAATGTCGATGGGTGGCGGTTATCACTTAACATCAGGTGAGCCGCCAGCTTGCTTGCCCCCTTCTAACATAAAAATAAAACTTTATTAAATGACTATCATCCATGGTTATCTGCTTAAACAGCAGGGGTACACGCGTTGTCGATCTGCCACGTGTATCCAGTCTTCTGTGAGACCGTATACTGGTCAAGCTTCTTGGCGGGCCTGTCGATAGCTGATGCCCGTACGGAAGGAGCTCTGTAAACCAGCATCACGGCGTGTTAAACATCGTAGGCAGCCATGCTAATTCCAAACATTCGGACTCCATTATAGCGCGGCCCCGTCTGGTATCCGTCCGCGGTGCTAACTGCCTCTCTCCAAGTACATTACTTCGTTATTTATTACTGAAAACACTCGCATATTATAAACATGAAATAGCTGAGCTCGACTAGCGCTTGCGACCGGCTTCGTTCGTTTTCGTTAACCTTTTAATTCATTTAAAAAAATAATGTTGTATGTTTTCGTCTACATAAGTACATATACACAAGATATATACACAAGAAGCGGAAATACCATTGGGTTATAAGATGATTGCAGCCTATTGATCGAAACAGCTGATATCTCATGATTGGGTTTAACTGGAGTGCGGATCACAGACTGATCCGCAATTACAATTCAACCCGAGAGAAACTGCATGATCAATTCAGGAAGACATATTAAGGGGGCGCGGTGAGTGCAAACGCGTCTTTCCCAAAACAGCCTTCATACTGTAATACTACCCAAATTAAGACGCGCAGACAACGGCCAAACCCCTCGCAGTGCCTCGAGGAAACGTCGAATCCGCCAAACAGCTGGCTCCGATGAGCGGGCGAAACGAAAACAAATGAATGGTCGAAAGAAACATCTATCGGGCCCCGTCAGAGAAAGCTGAAGAGCATCGCGGCGATTTACGAGCGCAAAACCGCCTAGCAACAGCCCAGGAATCCATTAGACAGTCCAGCTCCACCCCAGCGCCGAAGCTTCCGCCGAAATCGAGCATTAGCGTCCGCGCGCACCGAAAGAGCGCCGATTTAGTGCTAATTAATGAGCAACACGGCAACCGCCAGCCCCGAATTCCAGAGAGTACCTGGAAACTAGAGACTTGATTTCGTTTCGCAAAATTCGATAAGTCAACAAAGGCCGAAAGGCGTGTTTGGGCGTTTAAAACTAAGCAAATTACATGAACGAAAACGCGAAGAATATGCATGCATAGTTTTGTTTTTTGAAAATTATGTACATAGTCTGTGGCTGTCAACACAAATAGAGTTGGTTCTGTTAAGTTATTATATTTAACAAGTTATAATAAGTTAAGCGTGTAAGCGTGTGTATTAAAATTAGAAATAACAGTAAATTAAACGATATGTCGCGTACCTACGAAAGCGTGAGAAATAAATAGCACGAAATTAATATACATTTTTTTTTCATTATAAAGCAAATAAACTATAAATACTTACATTTTGTCTTACTGCTCTGCCGAGTGACAATTTAATTTAAATAAAAAAATACTATGTATCTAATGAAAACGAAAGGTCTATTTTTCTAGGGATTGATTAAGAAGGATTGGGGCTGTTCTTTAGGAAGCAAAAGGTTTTTATTTTAATTCAAACCCTCTCAAAATATTTTTACATCCATATAAAATTCAATGATAATATTTTATTTATTCTAAAAGTTTTATTTAGAATAAACAGCAAGAGTATCAGTGGGTAGAAACTTATGTAACAATTAAGGAAAGACATCCGTGTCTTCCCTTGATTGACACATTCTGCTTCCGAGCCGTGACTAAGTAGAATCCACGATTCTGTATACTAGAGAATTAAGAATCATGACGCATTTTTGGACGCTAGGTTAAAATTATCAGCCTGTTAAATATAACAAATAATACTATTTTTATTACATACAAATTAAGGACAGAAGCGATAAAAAAATGGTTTTCAAATAGAAAATTGAAAATTTAAACATTTACCGTACAATTATATGTATTAAAATTTAAGCGCTATCCTTAATTAACTATTTATTTACATGATTTTTAATCTACCCATGCTATAATAGGAGCTCCTCGGACCTTATAAGCTAGAAGCTCGTCTGTTAAAATGTTAACTGGGATAATTTTGAAAATCAATGCTCAATTCAAATAAAGGTTAAATATAGACTATAGAGATTCGGTAACAGATAGAGAAAAGACTCCAGACTTCTTCGTAGACACTAAGACGAATTTACAATATATGCTAAACTAGTGGATTTAAGAGAGCGTAATGAATGGCACGCTTTTGCAAATCTGCGGCCGCGAGAATAATTTCGTAGTTCAGTCTCACAGATAAACACCTAAATTACCCTTGTCAAAGAAACCGATTCAGCATTAGTCACTGGCAAAGTCAGCGAGCGTTGTTTGGCGCGCGAAAATCATCATTTCCGCGGGCCATGACTCAGCCAAGTCAAACAGACCGAAGCGAAAACAGCGTGCCGTTAAGATAAACACGAGTACTATTCCGATTGGTGAGTTACGACGCGGGCCAGAGCTCATATTCGAGGGTGCTTAGGCGGTGCGGTAATGGAAGCGTGGTTATTCTAGGTAGTGGTGCGATACGCGATAGCGGAGTGCGTAACGGGGCTTGAGGGAGGCGATCGGTCGCGATAGTGCACTCGCTAATGTGGGCAGGCTCCCGCTAGATACGCGATCAGGTACAGGGTGATGCTTTAGGCGGACTGCATTTCGATTTTTATGCGAGTTCGCATGATGCTAAGTGATAACCGCCACCCATGGACATGCGCAACACCCGGAGGGTTGCAGATGCGTTGCCACCTTTTAAAAATGTGGGAGAAGTGTAACACTTCCATTATACGCCGGTGCTCTGTGGGTCTGGTAAGTACCGTTGCACGAATGGGCAGGTCCGCCTGGGTAAGCACCTTACTTACAAGACGAAACGCAGAAGTTTAACACTGGAAGTGTTCTTCACAGCGGTCTTCTGTGGAGTCTGGTAACAGTGTAGACTGTCGCTTGGCCCTACCACCATTAACATCTTAAGTGTCTTAGTCCACGTTGTCTAAGTTGGCTTTTGGTTAGTTTGCTATGAATCGACACTAGAAATGTTGCACACATTATTTTGTTATGGGAAAACGGGCAGCGGATCGCCTAGTATTATGCGATTGTGGTAATCCCAAGTCCATCCTCGGGTGGACTTGGCTTCTGCGATTGCGATTGGGTTGCCAATCTTTTAGAGAGTGTGTTACTTTACTTACTACACGACTCGTAAAAGTACAGACACTTATTTTATGTTATGCTTATACCTTGGATAATATCAAAATACTTTAATTTCTAAAAATTTCCCGTTTGCCTCTTCGATATTTCACTGGGATTTTTTTTATGTGAAACGTTGTCAAGCGAGCAGACGGTTCACCTGATGTTAAGTGAATACCGCCGCCCATGGACATCTGCTACACCCGAGGGTTGCAGATGCGTTGACAACCTTTTGAAAATTGGGCTCCGGCCACCTCACTCACCAGACGAAACGCGAAAGTACTATACTTCCACTTTACACCGGTTTTCTGTGAGGTCGTGGTACTTACCCGGACGGGCCTGCCCGTTCGTGCAACAGCCGAGGCTGCTGCGTGGCCCTACCACTGTAGGGATTCGACAAGAAAAACAAAAAAAAAATAACTATAAGCTATACGATCTGGGTCTATCAATTCAAAGAGTTACCATCCTTTTGACAGCTGATTATTTAATTTCTACGATATCAGTGTTTCAGAAACCCGGCGTCGGTCTGTACGTGTTTAAAGTAAGAGCTTGATTAGTTCCTATATTGTACGTATTCATTTGGCTATCAATCAAAATATATTATAAGCAAACATCAAAGAGTCATACTACAATCACATTACTTCTCGCATTATTTCTCTTTTTAATGACGGTCTTAGTTCAACTTTATTTTGATCAGATGACTACGAGTTTTTATATGATTTTTTTCTGTTATCTGTGTTATCATTTGATACACATACAGTTGATGAATTTAAATAAAAGAAATGTCAATTCGGACGAGTTACGATTGTTAAGATGTCATTTTAATGGCCTTCTTATAACTATTTGTAATGGTTTAGTTATCTTAATTACAAATCTGAACAAAAAACTTCAAATGAGCGACAGAATTATAATAAAAACAGAAGTCAACGCTTAGCTAAAATGCAAATTGTCTATTTAGTTAATTAATGTTGAATTAAAATTATCATTAAAATTCCGCATCTTCGCATAAACAGATCATTCGATTTACATTTCATTCAAATAGTGTTTTGTAGCAATTATATAATTAATGTATCTGTTATTAAAGAAATAAAAACTCTTGAGAGCTTTGATTTATACTACTTTAAACAGCTTACCCATAAAACTCGTAACGAACAAGATTTCATTTTCTTAAAAAGAGTCTACAGCTAAATATTCCGATGTAAAAATGAAGGTTTCTCCGCGAGTAGTGCTATACAATGTTATTTATAACTAATATGAAATCAATTCACATTTAAAAGTTTTCTGTTTTAATAAAAAGAAAACCTTGTAGGCACATTTCTGTGTGTGCGCGCAAACCTTAATCTTCGCCGTGTGACCTAATAGATTTTATCGTCTTCATAAACGCGGCGAGGCTATCGAGTGTTTTACGGTAATGGCGCCCATTACGAATACTTGACAGAGGGCCAAATGGACATAATTATTTCGTTCGCGTTATTAATCTCATTTAAAATTTAATACGCGCCGCGTTTCCGAACGCGCGGTGATTGCGCGCGAAAACTGTCAAGTTGACAAATCGCGCCGCTGAGATTTTTATGGCCGCCGTCCGTAAGTGAGCGAACGTGCTCGGCCATTTCTTCGGGCGGCTTGGCGCGGTTTTAATTATTGGCGAATTGCACCGTGATCCCGAGGCAATAGGGCCTTTGGGACGGGCCGCAATTTGCGAGCAGAGTTCACGCGGCTAATTCCAGTTTCGCGTTTGCCGCCACTGACGTTTGATTGACAGGTGAAAGGGCGCGAATTAGTGTCCGTCCGATCTGCAATTGTATGCCTCCGCGGTCGTTCCCATTGTACATGGTAATTAATATCGCATTAGGTTCGTTTTTTTATGCACACGAAAATATCGGAAAAAAATAAAATGAAAAGCATGATTTAATATAAATTGCGGGCGAACGCAACGCGGCGAAAAACTCCATCCTGTTTTATCATCGTTTAACTCTTCGATGTTTTTTTTCTCTCCCTCAATCGAATTTCGGCGCTTTAAAAGCTTTCGATGCGCCGCATTATTAGTAGTTGTTTATTGTCGGCGCGAAAATCCCCCTTTTAATTCCACATACAGAACCTCGTTAAAAAGGCGAATCGTATCGGGCACACGCTGTGTTTCGTGTCCGGCGGCGCTCTTGCGCAAACGTGCCGTGATTTTAGGGCGAATGTGTTGAACTAACTTAGGACTCCATTAGCGCCGTCGTGTGACATATGTTACGGAGTGGCCACAGATAAGATAGAGCCGTATGTCATAAATTTACGCGCTACCGTTTGGCGTCCGCTAACACAGCTAGGATGCGTGGATTAGCGGGCAAACAGCGCGCCTGTTATTAAAACGAAAGTGGGCGCGATAAAGATGTTGCTGCTCTGTAACAACAGACGAGATCCATGATAAGGAGCAGTTTGGCGCACTGCCGGGAGACGTGGTCGAGCCGGCTGAGGAGCCCTGTGCCCGGCCACTTAATCGCCGTCCGTTCCAACTAGGGAAATGCGCAGAGAGAAGCAAAACATATGAGCACCTCAAGATAGTATTACAAATAAAACAGAAAGATGAATTCGCGTGCCTGGGAACATATTCAGATGCCTCTTTGATTATACTCATTATTTATACAAAATGGCAGGTATTTAGCTAATGACAGAAAGGTCAACGTTTTATTGGTTTCAGTAGGTATTAATTACTTTGATACGTTTGTTTCCTCATAAAAATAAACAATTAAGCGTGTAAACCTTTCAGATTATGTTTTACGAATATTTAAATGTGGTTTATTTTTTTATGTTCACTTCTTTATAGCGTATAAGGCGGTTGAACTAACATACCTTTTTCCATTCATTATAAAGGACCCGCAT